GATGGATGGATGGATGATTTCTCAGTGAGGACTAAAAAGAGAAATATCTTTTATTACAGATAAAAGCCTCTGATGTTCCTAGAGGGCAGCCCCAGCCTGGAACAGGCACACGGGCGGGGCAGAGCTGAGTGCCAGGACATGGAGCTGCTGCTGGGTGCTCTTCCTCCTCCTCTTCCTCCTCTTCTTCCTCTTGCTCCCCTCTCAGTAGCAGTGGGCGATGGTGTCCACGTTGAGGAAGCGGACGTGCATCTTGGTCTCGATGTCGATGCCCTGCCACATCTGCCAGGGGACAGGGTGAGGGGAGCAGGGCCACACCCCGGCCCTGCTGTGCCCATCCTGTCCCTCCTGTGCCCACCCCTGTCCCTGTTCCTGCCCCAGCCCCTCCTCCCGGGGTGTCACCGACCTTCAGGAAGTCCTCGAAGGTGATGCCCTCGTACACCTGGTCCGGGCCCTGCTCAGCGAGAGGAAACATGGCAGCTGCCCAGGGATGTCCCCTGGGGCTGAGGGACACATCCCCCACGGGTTCCTGCCCTGCACCCCATGGCCAGCCCCGGAGTGGTTCCCAAACCCCCTCCGCTGCCAGGAGCAGCCCTTTCCATAGGCAGTGAGGATGGACGGGGGTTTGTGGGATGCTGTTTGCTGATCCCTCTCTCATGAGCAAACATCACCCTGGGAGCTGCTGCCTGCAAAAACACCTCCAGCCAAAGCTGCTGAGGCACAGGGGGATGCCCTGGGACGCAGGGACACCTCCCAGCCCCATTGTGACGCCAGCAGAGCCCCTGAGAGCAGGAGGAGGCTCCAGCAGAGGCTCCCACCATTTGTCCCACACAGATGCTGGCTGCCTCCATCATGGCCCCGTCGGCAATGGACCGAGCCGACTCCTTCTCCAGGTGGGGGTTCCCCGACAGCAGCTCCTCCACCACCTGCAAGGGCAGAGGCTCAGGCCAGGCCTGGGGATGGGGAATGGGGCAGGGGGGACACAACTTTACATTTCTGTACTCCTGCAGCGTGATCTTGCCGTCGTGGTCCGAGTCGTACATGTGGAACAGGACTGGGGGGACACAGGAGGGGACAGCAGGGTCAGGGCAGCCCCTGGCCAGCAGCCCCAAGCCCAGGCTGGCCCCGGGGCAGCCTCACATTTCAGCTTCTCCTTGCGGAAGCGGTCGAGCTGCTCCTCGTCCATGTTCATCTCGATGGGTCTGAAGTAGGACATGATGGTCAGGAAGTCCTCGAAGTTGATCTCCTCCGCCAGCCCGTCCGACTCCTGCCGCAGGTTCCTGGGGGGTGATTGGGTGTTGTGCTGTGGTTTTATACTTTGGAATAGGTTTGGTTTTGTATCCCAGATGGTTTATCCCGGATTGTACCCCCTCCCTGTACCTGTGTAATCCCTTCCCTTTGCTGGGATCATCCCCAAATCCCCACCCTGGCTCTGTGTCAGTCACTCACCATCACATCCCCTCCATCCAGAACTTTCCATCCAGGATGTCAAGTGATCAGCCAGAGGCCAGGGGTCAGCCCCACAAGTGTTACCCCAAATCCTGTCCTAAATGTCCATTCCCAGTACCCATCCCTCAGGTCACTCATTGGTCAGTAAATGTTCTCTATTTTAAATTTCCACCTCCCTTTCAATGTAACCTTGGCACATCTCCCTGGGCTCTCAGCAGGAGCCCCCTGAGGTTTGTGGGGGCTCCTTTGGGACTCCTGGAATAAAACCTTGGATTAACCCCTGCTAAGAGTCGGCCCTTTTATCTTCTGCCATTGTCTCTGGTGACTCTCCTGCTGCAAAGGTGACAATGGGGAACCTGCCCCAGCACCATCACACCCCAGCAAAGCCCCAGGACTGGTTTATCCCTAATACCCACTTAAATGTCTCATTTTCCACCCGGGTCCACCCCAGCCTTTAGGGGGAAGGTCCTTGTCCAGCCCCTGCCCATTCCCAGAGGATCAATCCTCCCTCCCTGGGTGCTGGGGGCTCTCACCGCTTGTCAAAAAAGGCGTGGACGATTTTCCCTCGGATGGGGTTGAACTCCAGGTCGGGGATGCTGTCAAAGTTCTCCTTGCTGCAAAGGGCACAGAGAGAGCCCGGGGTGTGAGGGAGGTGGGGAGGAGGGAGAAGAGAAGCCCCGAGAGACCCAACCCTTCCTTGCAAAGCAAACCCGGAAAAATAAAGGGATTTTGGATAAAACCCTTCTTTCTTCCATTCAGATTGAGACCAGGTCCATGCTCAGGGATTTTGTCCCACCAGGATGGGTCTTGGGATGACCCCAGGGCTCTTTGCATGGCTCCACCTGCCGTGGATTTTGGAGTTTTCCCAGGAAAACGCCTCAAGCAGGGCCCACCAGGGAGATCCTGCTGTCCACCCTCCCCTCAGCTTCCTGCTGGGCTTTGATCTCTGGGATTTATAAAGCAAACCAAGAGCCAAGAAATAACACTGGGAGAGCTCAGAGCTCTCCCAATTCCCTGTGCAACCACCAAGGAAAGGAACAGGAGCACCTGAAACCCCCCCTTCCCTCCCCAGAACTGGTTTTAAAGCTGGGGGGTGATGAGATGCTTGTCAGGAGTGCCCTGCTCCCAGGCCAATGGGTTATTGTGTGTTTTCCTTGGAATATTTGCAAGGCTGTTCTGCAGGAGCTGACTCAGGGAAGGAGAGAATTCCAGCCCTGGACAGGCACCTTGGGACAGCCCAGGGAAGGGGGAGATACAGGGGGTGGCCCCAGCAGTGGCGCTGGAATTCAGTGGGGCTGGAATTGCCCTGGGGCTGGGAATGGAATTGTCATGGGGCTGGAATTGCAGCAGGGCTGGGATTGCCATAGGATGGGAATTTCGGTGGGGCTGGAATTGCAGAAGGGCTGGGATCGCCCTGGGGCTGGGATTGCGGCAGGGTTGGAATTGTAATTGGGCTGGAATTGCTGTGGGGCTGGAACTGCAACGGGATGGGAATTGCAATGGGGCGAGGATTGCAGTGAGATTGGAATTGCCCCGGGGCTGGAATTGCCATGGGATGGGAATTGTAGTGGGGCAGGAATTGCAGCGAGGCTGTGATTGCAGTGGGGCTGAGATTGTCCTGGGGCTGGAATTGCCAGAGAATGGGAATTGTAATGGGGCTGGGACTGAAGTGGAATTGGGTTTAATTGGGGCTGGCTTTGCCCCAGGGCTGGGATTTAAGTGGGGCTAGCATTGTCCTGGGCTGGAATTGCCATGGGATGGGAATTGCAATGAGGCTGGGATTGAAGTGGGACTGGGATTTCGGTGGGGCTGGCATTGTCCTGGGGCTGGGATTGCCCTGGGGCTGGGATTTAACTGGGGCTGGGATTTAACTGGGGCTGGCATCCCCCATTCCCTACCGGATGGTCAGCTGGTCCTGGCTCAGCTGCTTGAAGCGCCGGTGCAGGTGCTCGATCTGCTCCGAGGTGACTGCCAGGGAGAGGAGAGAGGTGACAGGGGGGGACCCTTGGGGACCCCTCTGTGCCACCCCCATTCCCTGTGGTGCCACCCTGCAGGTCCCTCTGTGTCCCTGTGCCCTGTGCCAGGGGCTGGGTTATTCCCTGTCCTGTCTGCAGGGAATTCCCTGGCCCAGCACGGCACGGAATGGCACAGTGGGATCCCTCCCAGCTCAGGATCCTGGTGCCAGCCCACTGGAGCAGGATTGGCATTTTTGGGGTTGTTGGCACGGTGGGCAGAGCTGTGCCCAGGCAGCTCCTCCTCTCCCCCTGCCCCAGCTCTGCCTGGAGCCAGGAGGTTCCTCCATGTCCTGCACAGCCACGGCTGCTCTGGGAAATAACTCTGGGATCAGAAACCCTGACGGCAGCCAGGGAAGGGGAAAGGACACAGAGGGGGCACAGCAGCCCCCCAAAATCAACTCCTGGCTTTGGGATTGCTGCCACTGCTCAGGGTGAGCCACAAACCAAGGGGGGCACCAACCCCATCCCAGGGCAGGGCTGGGCTGGAAGGGGGAACCTGCAGCTCCCTGTGAGCCCCCCAAGTGCTGGGGCTCAGCAGCACCTCCACAGTGCCCTGACCCCCAGCACAGTGAGTTTATCTCCTCCTGCTGCTCTCCTGGGGCTGTAACCAAGCTCTGACCCACCAGAGCCTGACTCTTGTGCCAACATTGACAGAGCCATTCCCAGGAGCCAGGGAAGCTCTGGAGCTGTGTCTCTGTGGGCTGGGGGTCTGTCGGGGCACCTCCAGGCTCCTGCAGCCCCAGCAACTGCAAATCAGCCACTCCTGGCATCAGGGAGACACATAAAACCACGTTAAGGGGTTGCGAAGGGTTAATTGCAGCAAGCCAGCAGGGTCAGAGCTGGGCTGAGCTGCCTCCCTCGCTGCCTTTTATGATGTTTAAATAATGTCCTTTGCTTTGCCCACTGCTGCTTCACAGCCTGGAAATAGCAGCTGCATTGATCAGCGGGGCTGGGCCTTCAGAGCTCTCTGTGAGAGCCTGGAAATCCCATCTGGGATGGGCCAGGGGGGCCCTGAGCCTGCCTGGATCCCTGCAGGATCCCTTTCAATCCCCTTTATCCCCCCTGAGCCCCCCAGCTCTCAGCTGGTGATGCCCAGACCCCAGTGGATGTTTCCCCCCAGTCCCTGCTGGCTGCTGCTCTGCTGCTGTCCCATGGAAACTTTCCCTGGACTTTCTTTCCAATTTTGGCCCTGCAGAAGTGACCTTTCCCTCTGTGCCGTGACGCCACCGCTGTCACCATGGGAGCAGCTGGGCCACCAAGGCCTGAGCATCCCCAAAAAGCTTTGAACTCTCCGAAAAACGTCCCAGGCACCCAGAGCACAAAGAGCTGGGCTCGGTGGCTGGGTGCTCATGGTGGGGCTGGCCCTGGAGGGCTGGGGGAGGCTTTTGTTGCCTCTTTCCCCATCCCAGGTGTTCCTCAGGGCGGCTCTCCCAGCATCGCTGTCCCTGTAAAGGTGGCAGAGCTCGGCTGCTCTCCAGAAAAAAAAAAAGGGAAAATCTGCAGGAAAGGCAAAAGCTTTGCTGGAAGGAGGGCTGGCTCAAGGGCAGCACAGGCTGCTGGTGTCCCTGAGAAGCATCCTGATGCTGCAGGCCCGTGTCCAAGCACGGCAGCCTCTGCTAACGGGG